TTAGACTTAGTTGAGGATCAGAAACAAGGGTCTCATGATCTATGGGTAGTATTTCTTAAGAAATTTTTTATTAATTGGCATCATGAGCCTATCACCTTTCTGATTGATGAGACGGTAAACTCCATTCAAATGGACTGATTCTATTACGAAGGGTACTTCCCACTTGGAATTGAATTTGCCTTTGGTCTTGTGCGTCATCACCACAGGTCGTCTTACGACCAACACTACATTGCCTTTCTTGAAGATCCTTTCCTTAACCTTCTTGTTATAGACTTTGAAAATTCGAGCTTGATATAACTCGATCTGTTGCTAGGCTTGAAGTCACTTATCGTCTAATGCTTCCAGTTCTTGAAGGCGTAGTCAATGTTGCTCTTCATCCGTCATCCCGGTTGCAAGGGTAACTCTCAGGGATGGGATCTGAATTTCTAATAGTAGTACAGCTTCACAGTTATATACTAAAGAAAAGGGGGTGGCTTTTGTTGGGGTTCTCATCGTTGTATGGTAAGCCCATAGATATTCGCCCAGCTTTTCATCCTAGTCCTGTGACTTTTAGAGATAAACTTTTTAAGAAGTTTCACAATGGTTTTGTTGAAGGCTTTTGCGAGACCATTGGCTGGTGGATAGTATGTCGTTGATGCGACACTTTGGATCCTGAACCTATCGCAGAATCTCTTAAAATCGTGACTGACGAACTGTGTTCCATTATCGTGGACTATTCGTCTTGGTACGCCAAAGCGGTAGATGACGTGATTCTTGATGAACTTGATCATGTTTTAAGTCTTAACTTCCATCAAAGGAATGATTTTTGCCTACTTAGAGAAGTAATCGGTTACTGCCAATATGAACCGATGTCCTTTGGAGGTCGGTGGGGAGATAGGTCCGACGATGTCCATTCCCCACATCTCGAATGGCCAAGATAAAGATGTTGGATGCAAATTTCCTTGTGCTTGATGAATGAAGTCATCGTGAAACTGACATGCATGACACCGTTTAACATAATTGATAGCGTCTGCAAATATTTTTGGCCAACAGTAACCAATTCTTCAGAGACGATCTCCTAATTTAGCTCCTGGTTAGTGAGCTCCACACATTCCATTATGAGCTTATTTAAGAGTCTCCTGCGCTTCTTTTCTAGAAAGGCAGCAAAGTGAGACTCCATCATGCGATATTTGGTACAAGATTTGAGAAACCACATCATAATAGAATCGAAGGGCCTTTCATTTACGGCGGCCACTTCCTTAGAATCATCAGGCAGTATATCGTACAAGACATAGTCAATGAACGGGAACCACTAGTCCCTTAGTTAGAGCTCAATTGAAATTGCACAGGCAATCTCCACTGTTGTCTCATTTGAGCAGTCTTCTAAAGGAAACTTAGGGTGATACACGTCACGGCCCATAACGAATATTATTGTTTCAACCTTTGGCGGCAATGCCAATGAAGTTACCAGCGAGGCTAAAAGCATCCGCATATGTATTCTGGACTCGTGGGATGTATCCGATAAAGAAGCCTTCAAACTTCTGGGATAGCTCTAGAACGACAAAATGGTATGGGACTAAGTCCTCATTACGTACTTCGTATTCTCCTCGGAATTGATTCACAATGAGCTGAGAATCACCATAAGCCTCAAGGTGTCGAATATTGAGCTCATCGGCTAACTGCATCCCTAATAGCAAAGCATTATACCCTGCTATATTGTTTGTGCATGGCTCCATTAGAGAGAATCCTCTTGGGATTACATGACAACTTGGGGATACAAGTATCACCCCCCACACCAATGATGATTCCTCCATTAGGGTTTGCTCTAGACGCACCGTCTAAGAACAAATTCCATACTTGCTTGACCTCTTGGGTTATACAAGATTCAACAACTTCATCTGGCAAGTCTTCATATAATTTGGACGAATCAGATACAGGATGATTAACCAGGAAATCCGCTAGAGCTTGGCCTTTAACAGCCTTTTGAGGCACAAATTGCATGGAATATTGCGATAGAAGTATCACCTATTTTGCTAGATGGTAATTCCTTGAAGAGGGTTTCGTCATGAACACCCTCAAAGGATTCACCTTAGAGATGACATGAATTGATTGTCCGACCAAGTAGTGTCGCATCTTCTGAACAACAAACACTAATGCAAAGCACTCTTTTTCTATCAGATTGTACCGGTGTTCGGCTCCAATCATGGTTCTACCAAGGTAGTAGATTGCTTGCTCATGTCATTGGTCATTATTCTGGGCTAAAAAAGCTCCAAGAGAATGATCCATGTCTCTCACATATAACGAAATTGTTTCCCTGATATTGGGGCTACAAGGATAGGTGGTTGAGTGATGTATCGTTTTATTTCCTCAAATGTCTTTTGGCAGTTTTTATCCCAAATGAACAAGACTCCTTTCTTCATTAATTTGGAGAAAGGCTGGCAGTGTTCCGAGAGGTTTGATATGAATCTCCGGATATAAACCAATCTACCTTGCAAGCCTCTGAGCACTTTGATGTTTCTCGGAGGTGACATTTCTTGGATATCACAAACCTTTTTTAAATCGAGAGAAATCCCCTTGGATGTAACTATAAACCCAGGGAATTTGCTGCTGGCAACCCCCAGGAATGATTTAGTCAGGTTCATCTTCCGTTGGTGTGGTCGCATGATATCAAACATCATCTTCAGATATGCAAGATGATCGTCTTTGTTTTGGCTTTTTACTACAATATCATCCACATAGCATTCAATCTTCTTACACAAATGTTCATGGAATATTGCATTCATTGCACGCTGATAGGTTGTGCTAGCGTTCTTCAATCCAAAGGCCATCACTGTGTAGCAATACACTCCCAATGGTGTTCTGAAGGTGGTGTGCTTTTTGTCGTCAGGGTATATTTTGATCTGGTTATACCCTGAAAACCCATCCATGAAAAATATCATCTCATATCCATAAGTAATATCGATCATGACATCCGTGGTGGGAGTGGAAATTCGTCTTTTGGACATGCAGTGTTTAGGTCATGAAAGTCGATGCAAATTCGAACCTTTCCATTTTTCTTGGGCACAAGAACTATGTTAGCCACCCGGTCAGGGTGTTGTTCCTTTCTAATAAAGCATGAGTCGATAAACTTTTTGACTTCTGACTATATCATCTCCATGATCTCTAGACCAAATCGACGTTATTGTTGCTTAACGGGCTTCACATCCGGATCGATGTTAAGACGATGCATGGCTACCTTAGGATCAAGACTAAACATGTCTTCATAATTCCAAGTGAAGACATCTACATATTCTCTGATGAAAGATATGAGATCTTCTTTCTCAGATGTTGATAAGCTCTCACTTATGAAAATTGGCTTGGGATTTATTTCATCTCCCATGTTGACTTGGATTACCTTATCTTCTGTAGGCGGCTCGCGTTGTTCAAAGCGCATATCCCATAAGATATTAAGGCGTTTGATCCAAGGGTCGTTGGTTGACTCAATAAACTTTTTATCATCCTCTTCTGCATCTTCATCTAGATGACTAGCCAAAGTCATGTTTACAGACATGTTTTTAAAGAATATTCTGATGCTCACATTAGATTCCCATGATGATGTTCCGGATGAATGATCTTGCCATAGACAATCCTCAGTTTTATTTTCTAAAAGGGGAGGGGTTGAAACATAACCTAGCCCTCTTCCAGTTTTATGATAATAATCATGAGATTTTTCTTCTGGAGTGAAAGATCGAATTGGTGCTTGTCTTTCTTTCCCGAAGTTCAAACCTTCCTGTTTATCAAAGTCATAACCCTTTCTTCTCATTAGATGGATGGAATTGGGTTCATGATAATTGAATTGTGGGATTCTAAGATCCTCATCTGAACTTTCCTGCTTGGTTGATTTAGAGTTGACTTTACCGAAATAGATTGGCTTTTAGCCTTTTTTTTAGATGAGACCATGAAGAAGGCTTTCTGCACATCTCCCATCTCTTTGAATATAACAAAGGATGATTTGAGTGGCAAATCAAGTGATGTCTCAGCATACAATGTGTGCCATGGATCTATACTTGCATCTATATCTATCTCTGTTTTCTCACATTCAGAGGACACATCAGACGAGTAAGCCAAATCGAAATCTTCATTAATGTATCACTCGCCCTCACTCTGTACATCATTATTATTGAGCTTATTCTGGCTCATTACATTTAGATTTAACTCCCACGGACACTCTTCCTCGGGCTCAGGCTCGAAGTCCGTTTTGTTGCCACTGTCGGCGGCTTCCTTCGACTGCTCTGGCTCTTGGAAATCCAGATAGAAGACTGAGTCGGTGTGGAAATTTTTCATACCTCTGAAAGGTTGCTTCTTTACGATCAAAGTTTTGACTTCTCCCTCATCATCGGCATATTTTATTACCTGATGAAGGGTAGACGAGACGATGCGATTCGCATGAATCCAGGACCGTCCTAATAATAGATTGTAGGATGTGTGTGCATCTATGATATAACAAGTTACTTTGGACTTGAGATCTCTGATTTGACACCTGAGCTTGATTTTGCCTAGAGGTCGTGTGTTGTTAGCATTGAAACCGAAGATAGTAGTTTGAGTGGAACTCAGTCAATACAGGGAATCCCTAGGACTTGCATAACTCTGTACGGCATAATGCTGAGTGTAGAGCCTAGATCGACTTGGACACGGCTAATCTCAGAGGACCCAATGTACCATGTGTTATACAGTGGTCTATCAAGTTTGTGTTTGATTTTCATATATTCTTGTGTGAATGATATGCATGGCAAACTTCTCGCAGCTTGTAAGCATCGTGCGTAGGATTATTCTTTTGTAACTTCTGGGACTACATGAACTTGTGTTATAAAACTCTCTGTGTCCGTTAATGTCACGACCCCAATTTCCAAACCTCAAAGGAATATTAGAGCCTGACTAAACCTGTGAAAAGTCCTCCAAAATATACATTCATTAAAAGAGCACTAAAACAAATCTCTTCATTGAATTAAAACCAACAACAAATATTCTCTATAATCCCAAAAGTCAAACTAAGCCAATTAACTTGATAAAAATAAGTATTCCTCAACTCCAAATAAATTTCAACCTAAGAAAGAATCTCATTATTACAAACTCTCAATTCATCATCTAAACATTAAAGACTTTATTTAACCTTCGCCTAGAAGACAATAACAATCTCGAATTATTCTTTGCTTCGTTCTAAGAATTTGACAATCCTCAATTCCACCTAACCCCGAGTCTCTGAAAAGAATATAAATAACACAATGAGTTCACAACTCAATAAGTGGATAAATTCATACATTAAACACTGGTTTTGCAAAACAAAAATATTACAACGAGAAATAAACAAAATATAAGAATGATATAGAATCATTAATGAACTCTAGTATTTGATACAAATATTTAAGAAAAATTAGAAATCATGGAATAGAAATAAGCATGCTACGTCTCAATGCGGTCAACACTTCATACTCCGGTTGACTCGGTAAACCCCACAATTATTAAGCCCGTGGTTCCGGGACGGTGAGACCCAATTTGGGCTCTTAGCGCTAAAATAAAACCTCATAGAGGCACATTGAGTCCTGTTTTAATAGCTTGCTTATATCCGACATATACCGGTATATTGACTTGAGATGCATATGCTTTAACAATAAACAAAGTTCGTAAAGCTAATCACATTATACAAATATGCCAAAGGCCAACCAATAGTGAAATAAATCAAACACATATGCATCTCAACCTACCACTATATGAATAGACATAACAATTGATAAAGAAAATAAGCATAGGCTTATACCAAAATATCCATGAGCATCACAAAATCAACCAATCAACAATTGATATACCAGTAATCATACGAAGGATATAATCCGTCAGGAACAAATCCAAGTATACTTGATATAATTATATAAAAAAATACACAGCGCACAATGCATAAATTCACCACTTACAGAAACCCGAATGACTATTGGAATACCACTCATGACGTCTCCTCGAAGTCACTTGGAATCCTAGAAAAAAATCCAAACAACAATCAATGCTATTGTATATCCTTAGACTTGATAACCTATTAAATAATCAAAAGACATACTAGCTAATAACACTGTATTCAAACAAATATATAAAATCTGTAAGATCCCATAGTCCACACTCAACACTAGGCATCCATATATATAGGTTAATTTATTTTTATATTAGAAACTTTGGTATGGATTGTTAGGCTAAGAAACAATTTACTTTCATGACAAAAGCAATGGAAAGAAAAAATAATAACAACAGCAAGGTGTTGCATGCTATCAAGAGCATTACCATGGCTGACCACAAAATAAAACCAAGTTAATTGATTGTACATAAAAATTCAAACCAAACCCTAATACATTCATAGGTTATTCTTTCACCAAAAGCCATACCTTCATTCTTGTGTAAACAACCATTGCTCACTCTCTTTCAACGGATCCAATAAATTTTTTTTTCTTCTTCTTCTACTATTCTTTTGCCGTCTTTTGTTTTCTTTTCTTGTCGTTTCTTTCTACGGCTTCTCAAAAGTCGCCGACTAGGGTTTTCCTCTATTTATTAGTTTTCCATTAATACCAATAAACCCTTTAACAATTTTCCATTTGCAACAAACCCCTCAGTAGACTTAAATTTATTGCTATATTTAGTACTTTCTTTCTTTGCATAAAAGTCCTTTGTAACTTAATATTCATAATATAGACTTATTATCAATAGAAAAAAATTAGGGATATTACAGTTAAAACTTCAATCTGAGCCTCCCTCATGGTCTTGGATAGTCGCAAGAGCTCATATAGGGTGATACTGGTCAGAATATTGGCCAATTATGCCATAATATTGAAACGGAAGGGAGTGTTTGATCCTCCAACTTCTTAAAGAAGATTTTTGTAATAGCGGAGCTCCTTTTGTTCCCCTTTGTATGTAGGCTTCTTAGGATTAGAACCCCCAACCTCTTTAGCCTATTCTTCTGCTCCTTGACCAACTTGATCATACTTTTTCAAGTATGTCTTCCCTGACCCGGTGCATGTTCCAGGGTTTGCTTCTTGGTCGGCGGCAAGGACGATCCTCTCCTCTTCTAAGTCAGTGAGGGGGACTAGATGTGTATCATCTTCATTCAGAGAGGGGCTAATCATGTTGAATGTTCTAGCCTTGCCTCTCTTTTTCTTTGCTGACGTGCTTCTCCACTGTTGGTCTTCAAGCAAGTCGGGAATTATCTCTCCTTTCGGAGTGGTAAGGGGTACCAACCCTTTCTCTTTCGGATCATGTAGGTCAGTATTTTTCAAGTATAGTTCTCCCTTAGGGATAAGGATGACACCGTTAAGATTTGCCACAGGTGAAAAATCTACGAATTGGATCGATATCACGTTAGTGGATACGGTCTTCTGTTCTAGTTTCAGCTTGAGTACATTAGCATCGACTAATGCTTGCAAGATATCCTTAAAGATGTAGCATCTCTTTGTTGGATGTCCAAACATTCTATGATAGTGATAGTAGTTGAGATCGTCCACTTTTCCTACCTCTTCCGGTCTTTTTATTTAAGGGAGCTTCAACTTATTGTTCTTCCAAAGTAGCTGGAATAGGGTGTCTACATGGTCCTCTTTGAAAGAGTACAATTTGAGTGCTCTTGGTTGACTCAATGCCTTACCCTGCTTAGCAGGTGGTGCTCGAGTATTGGTAGCAGTGGCCAGAGTATCCTTTCCTTTTGATCAGGGAGTGTTGCCTTGATTGCGTTGCGCTGGTTGCTTCTATTTATTGGTCTCTTCCGCTTTGAGCCGGGCAATAATCTCTTCTGCCTGCTCTTCTTAGGAGACTAGCTATTTCCAGGATCGACATTCCGCGACCCCTATTTGAGCCAAGAGATGGGTTTGCAAATTATGCTGACAGGTTTCCACTAGAGTGGATTGTGTCATACCCAACGGACATCGCAAGGCCATGCTTCAGAATCTCTCGACAAAGGCCTTAATAGACTCTCCCTTCTTATATTTGGTAGCAAAGAAGAGTATGAAAGTCCCTAGAGGGGGAGGAAGGGTGAATTGGGTCAATGCTAATCTAGTTCTGATTTTATACCAATTAAAAACTTTCTGGATTAATTAATTCTTGCAAAAGATATATGAGTGAGTTATAAGCAAGAATGTAAATTACAAGCACAAAAAAAATATATACAAAGAAAACTCAAATACAAGATATGATCATGGAGTTCGGCCAACCCTTGAGCTACATCTCTGCTTCTCACCTCAAGGAGATTTTCACTATATCGACAAACTTGGTTTGGAAGCCGGAACTTCTCTACACACTCGGTTTTCTAATTCACCAAAAAACTCTACAAGACACTCATAATGTACATGTATCGCCTTACCACTCATATGATGTTCATGTATCGCCTCCCTCAAGTACTCAGTTTTACTACCTCTCACTAGGCTTTACTACTGACGCCACTCCTTTTGGTATCGACTACGCCCTCACCACACACTCCTCTTGGTGTAAATGTGTATTACAAGGTGATACTCACAAATAAAGCTCAAATACAATAAATTATTCTCTAAAAATAAATGAGAATACAATGAAGCTCACTCTCACAATATCACTCGCCACAACCCACAATATAGTTAATGTAATCCTAGAAGCTCAAATAGGGATGTGTGTGATAAAATGAGTTCAATAAAATCTAACTAAAGTAGCAAACTAGCAATAATATGACTATGAAAATTAGTAATAAAATGCTAGATAAATGAGTTAGAAAAACTTTTCTACAAACACAAGGAGAGGATAAATTTGATTGAGGATGTATTCCTCAATTAACAATGTAAGCTTCCTCTTTGTAGACAAACACTAAACTTGAGAAGAAACTTAAACAAACTTTTAAACCCTTTAAAACTCTTCTTAAAACCCACTTGAATGATTCCCACAAGTAAAACAATAAGGGGTATATATAGGATGAAAACCAAAGCCCAAAAACTAAGAAAATCCAGTAAAAAGATAAAAATACAAAAAGCTGGAAAAACTAATCGTTACAGGCGTCAGTCAACTGATGAGCTGAATCAATCGACTGACGAGCTGACCGTTACAGGCAGCTAACAGCTTATCAGTTGACTGATGAATCTCGTTAGTCGACTGATGACCTCATCAGTCGACCGAATAGGAAACAAAAACAATTGATAATTCCAGGCGGTTTCACCAGTTGATTGATAAAAACCATCAATCGACTGATAGCTGGTTTTCAGCCTGAATTGAATAGTAATAACAAAATTCAAACCTCTTTTAAAAATAGCAAACAAATTCTAAAAAATATAAAACTTTGGGAAAAGTTTATAAACATGAATATGAACATGTTGGAAAATGAGTTTTTTAATTTTTTCTTACCATTTATGAAATCTCAAAAATATTCAAAAACACTAAAATACATGTGTTTATAAACATGTTGATTTTAACATTTAGCTCAAATCAAGTTTTGAAAACTCGTGTAATGTTTTTATGGACTTAATAAAATATGTTAATAATGTTTATATATTCCAAAGCATATTAAAATATATTTTGCAAAAAAAACCTATGATTTGAGAAATTTCACAAATAAATGTGTGTAAAATTTAAGCTTGAAGAATTAGCACACATTATATATAAATCTATACTAAGTATACCACGAGTGAATCATATGAAGCTTGAACTTGATTGGTTGACTTGATTTGCATAGATTTCAATATCAATGTAGCTTATTTTTCTATGTATACTAAACAACATAAAACAAAATACTAAAAATAATATTAGTCGTAAATTATTTGTTAAATCATCATCAAAACAAGAAGGCTAACAGTCTCCTCCCTTTTTGATGATGACAAACAATTTACCAGAATACACATAAAAGTTCATAAGCATAATAAGCATAAAATCACAAATATAAAAACATAAATACTCATATTTTCTCCCCCTTTGGCAACATCAAAAAGGGGATAAAATAATATGATTAAGAAGAGAGCGAAAGCTCTTCCTAACAAAAAGCACAAGTGAGTATAAACAAAATAGAAGGATATGGGGAAGGCTCCCCCTATCAAAAAGCCATATAGAAAATATACAATAATGAGCATGGTAAATAAATGTGAGTGAGTATGGATATCACATTAAAGAAGACCAAGTGACCACATATATGTATTATTAACAAAAGAGTCACAAGAGTCTAAAACATAGATATATATATATATCCATAGGACATATATCAAAAACAAACAAAAAATCCTAAAAATGAAAATCAAAGATTTAAAAATCAAAAATCAAGAATCAAATGATTCATTAATAAATCCAAAATAAAAATTCATAAGTTATCAAACCATCAATTATGATTGATTGAGAACATATATAAATACATTATTATGAAAATGATGTCTCAATACATGAAAACAAAGTATAAGTTCATAAAATCTTATAGAAACCAACATCTTGTTCATGAAAATTCAAGAAAGGCAATAAAAATGATACCAAAAGAGAGTCCAAATGAGAGTTCATGGAAAAACATAAAGAATCATTTTAACAAAACAAAAGATGATTGTGCAAATGTTAGCCTTCTTGTTTTGATGATGATTTACAAATAATTTACATCTAATGTTGTTTGTCTAGTATTTATATTTTGTATTTATTCTAGGCAAACAACAAGTTAGAGGTTAGATGGAATTGCGCCATAACGATCATATCAAATGGAGGTTGGCGGAATAGTAGAGTGAAGCCTTACTATCAAGTTAAAGATCCAATTATAAGCTTCATCCAAGTTTACCAAGTTGAGCTACAATGAAGATCAAGATCAAGCTTGGGTAATATTTAGTTTAGGTTTATATTATGTGTGTTAGTACGTTAAGCTCAATATCATATACACACACATTTTATTGGTTTCTTTGTATATATATGTAGTCATATATATATACAACACAAGTTTTGGCTTTCATGTTTATAAATATGAAATTACATATTTCATATTTATTTTTGTGATTTGGTTTAACTACTTAGATATGAAACAAATATATTTTCATATACATACTCATATGTTTTATTTTCTATTGTATTTGTAAAAATATTGTTTTCTTGGTTTATATACTTAACAATAATCATATACATTTTTTATTAAGTCTACAAAACCATTTTGTAATATTTCAAAACATAGTTAAGCTAAAATGTCAAAACTCATGTGTTCACATTTTTATGTTTTGGACTATCTTGCAAAATAATGATATTTTATATTTAGAAAGTTTTTTTTGAAAACCACTTTCTGTGGCATGTTTATTATCATGTCTACAATCATTTTTTAAAGTTTTACATTTTTCTGAATTTATTTGATATTTTTAAACCCTGTTTTATGTTGTCATATACTATTTAAAACAGGCTGTGTGCATGTCATGAGTCGACTCATGAACAGTATTGGGCCGACTTATAAACTGTTGTGTAGTTTATATTTTGGTTATGATGAGTCGACTCATAACATCATAAGTCGACCCATCAGGTTGAGTCGACTCATGCCTGTCATAAGTCGAT